TCCCAGAGGGATCTTGGCGCCCATCATTGTTTGATATTTATATGCTCTTTCAAAGTAGGATCTTTTCCCTTCTTTTATCTTCTCTTTTCTGTTTTTGCTCTAAATGATATGACATTTGAACATTCCTTTGCAAAAATACCGATGATAATCTTTACTTGCCAAATCCACCTGCCACCTGGAAGCCATTTTGTATCTTTTGATAAGTCTCAAAATCAAACGAGCACAATGAGAGACCAAAGGAAATATACGTATGAAATTCGAGAGATATCCATTCAGTACTTCTTAAGAAATGGAAATAAAAATCTTTATTAGGGAAAATCCAAGAAGGCTGTCTGTCGGCCATTTTGTTTTTTTCTGATCAGTCCAAAACTCATAAAGTCACAACTATGGATCTAAAGTAACCTTTACACGAAATCTGAGAAAGATCTATATACAGTACTTCTCACGACATTCGACGTAATAATCCAAAATGGCCGCTTGTGGGCCATTTTGTTTTATCTGATCAGTACCAAAATCAAAAGGCACAACTAGGGATCAAGGAAAACATGCACATGAAATTTGAGAAAGATCTATGCTGTAGATCTTAAGAAATAGCGATAACAAACTTTCACAATTCTAAGATGTCCGTGTGTTGACCATTTTTTTAAAAATCAATTCTAAAATTTGATGGGCACAACTAGAGACCAAGAGGAACTTACATATGGAATTTGACGCCGGCCTACTCATGCAGAGCGATTTGAACAGCGAATAATGATCTTGTAAAACAACGTACTGGGCTGCTTTCCGTGTAAGTTAAGTTACACAGTAAAATAAAACATGCTTACTAAATATTAAAATTCCAATTACAAAATGAACATTCCGAGTACGTCAAATTAAACAGGAAATAAGACATATGCTTACTTACTAAATATTAAAATTCCAATTTCAAACCAACAAAGACAACTCAAACGATAGTTCCTCCACTTTCCATATAATTTCCTTTCGTGTTCATTTATATCCTTCATTCGTAATGGATTTCATATTTATCACGTGTGTCGTCTATTCCATGTTGTGTCAAATTTTAAAACTGGAGATGTTTCACAGTATAAATCTTCACAGCCACCGTAGCGTTTGCATGCATATAATTGTTTACGGTCTTCGATCATATCTAAAGCTGACTCCCAATCCTGCTATTATCCATTCGGTGTGAAGAACAGAAGGCTGAATGGGCCTGCAGCACTCGCCTGATATATATATATCTATCAGCCAAATATCAATCCTCTACGCCTTTTAGTTCACGAGAAGTCATTTAAATGTTTATACAAATTTGACCCCTGTGAACTTGAATATAAGTCAAGGTCATTTCTTTTCGCAAACTTCGTCGGGCTTTATCCTATGAACTTACCTACGAAATATCAAAACATTTGCTCCATTGGCTATTGAGAAGTTGTGTAAAGGAAAAAGTTAACCTCGGAAACGGCACAAGCTCACTTAATCGTTCAGGTTAGGTGAGCTAAATATAGAATCCAATCTGTGAAACATTTACGATTTCAAACCATTCATTGCCATAAGGAATCAAAGAAAAAGTAGGCATACTTTGTCCTGCTAATTCATGTCAGTTTCAGAAATTCAGGCCGTCTAGGAAAATGTTCATAAAACCATTGTCAGATATTGTATATCACCGTGCTTGGGAGGGGAATCAATTTTCTTACTTGTGTTTGTATGTGTGAGGGTGTGTGTGTGATGGTGTATGAGGGTGTATGTGTGTGAGGGTGTGTGTGTGAGGGTGTATGTGTGAGGGTATATGTGTGAGGGTGTGAAGGTGTATGTGTGAGGGTGTGTGTGAGGGTGTATGTGTGTGAGGGTGTGTGTGTGAGGGTGTATGTGTGAGGGTGTATGTGTGTGAGGATGTGAGTGTGAGGGTGTATGTGTGTGAGGGTGTATGTGTGTGAGGAGGTGTGTGTGAGGGTGTGTGTGTATGAAGGTGTGTGTGAATCTGTATGTGGGTGTATGTGTGAGGGTGTATGTGTGAGGGTGTGTGTGTGTGAGTGTGTGAGAGGGTGTGTGTGAGGGTGTATGTGTGTGAGGTGTGTGTGTGTGAGGGTGTATGTGTGAGGGTGTATGTACATGAGGGTGTGTGAGGGTGTATATGTGTGAGGGTGTGTGTGTGTGTGAAGGTGTATGTGCAAGGGTGTGTGAGGGTGTATGTGTGTGAGGGTGTATGTGTGAGGGTGTATGTACATGAGGGTGTGTGAGGGTGTGTGTGTGTGAGTGTGTGTGAGGGTGTGTGTGTGAAGGTGTATGTGTTTGAGGGTGTGTGTGTGAAGGTGTATGTGTGTGAGGGTGTATGTGGGTGTATGTGAGTGAGGGTCTATGACTGTGAGGGTGTGTGTGAAGGTGTATGTGTGTGAGGGTGTATGTGGGTGTATGTGTGCGAGGGTGTGTGTGTGAGGGTGTATGTGTGTGAGGGTGTGTGAAGGTGTATGTGTGTGAGGGTGTATGTGTGTGAGGGTGTGTGTGTGTGAGGGTGTGTGTGTGAAGGTGTATGTGTGTAAAGGTGTATGTGTGTGAGGGTGTATGTGTGTGAGGGTGTGTGAGGGTGTATGTGTGTGAGGGTGTATGTGTGTGAGGGTGTGTGTGTGTAAAGGTGTATGTGTGTGAGGGTGTGTGAGGGTGTATGTGTGTGAGGGTGTATGTACGTATGTATAGGGGGTATCTTTTATATCTTACCTCTCCCAACAACAGACTTATTGACAATGTAAATTGTACATACCACAACAGGAACTGGTGGACAGGACAGATTCTTTCCAAGAACCAGCCAGGACAACTTTCAGCCAAGATGTATTATAAGCACATTAACTTTCAAATTTCTCTTTTGCAACGTTTCCGTTTATGGACAACAGCATGTCACACTTGATTCAATATTCAAAGGCTTGTGCACAGTGATACTATTTTCACACATTATATTGACAACAAACAGATTGACTCAGAACACTTAGTTTCAAGAAATTCCTGATGAGCCATATAGGGAAGTTTAATAGTCAACAAATAATCTACTTTGATTATTTCCGAGAGGCTTAACATAAAATCTGTCTACTTCTGCATATCAATGTAGCACAGGATCAGTGCCAATTCCTGCCATCTGGAGGTCATTCACTAACAAGCATTTTTAGTAAGTTATATATCACTTACTGTCACTATTACTTCATTGATCATATATATATATATGAAAAAACATTTGGTCAGCTGCATATGTAAGCTATTAAAATAAAACCTCAGATCTAAGAGAGGAGTAGGGCTGTAAATTGAGAATTGTCATGCTCTTTCTATTAAAATTTATGTGATGTCATTGCTACAAAATTGAAATCATCCAGATTAAAAAGATTTTATTCAAATATAATGTTAAATTACCTATCTTTTTTATTTCATTATATACATCACTTTGGTTAAAAATTAATTTTCACAAATTGCCTCCTTGGTTTCAGCATTTTAGATGGACTTACCATAACTGACAAACCCTTGAAAGACCAGACATCAGTGTGATTTCAATCCCTTCACTATCTGACTCTACTGTATCTACTCAAATTTATGGACATTTTCTTTTCGTTTGTTTCTTCCTTGGATGGCAGTTAACGTGTCATAATCACAATCCAATCTCATATTGAATATGCTAAGGCAAATTATGAAAAAAAAAATTAGATTTATAGGGATAGTCCTGAAACGGTACAAAGAGAATAAGACCAAGTGTTCCAGAAGAGTGAGTGTCTTCTGCTTCATCAACAACACCCGCCATGTAGATCTTGGTCATTCCAAGTAGGTAATATTATGTTCTCAAATGACAACAAGGTTTACAAACACAGAAAAAACAGAACCAAGAGGCAGACTAACAAATCTACTAGATTAATTGCAAAGTACACTCTGTTGTTTAACAGTTGTCTTCATTTTTTTTTAAATCAATCATCGTAGAGCAGTTTAATTCATATTTTCCCCAATTGTTTCCCATTCTAAATTTTCATGGAAAAGTAGAATTCTCTAATGTGGCTTCTGTACAATACTGACATCTTAAATTTACTGCTTCTTTGAAAATCTCTCTTGAGATCAAGTTCTTTGTTCTCATTCTGGGTAATTTTTAGGAAATACTGTACAGAAAACATGTGATAAAAGCAACTTTCTATGTGAATTTGAGGAAAGATTCAATACACGCTGAATAAAACTGTGTGGCACATTTTTTTCCCAACCTCTTGGATTCTTCAGCGATTGTTATTAAGGACCTGAGAGTATATTTCCTGAGTATATCATCCCTTGAACAGATAGTCATTTTTAGGGTGGTGTCTTCTTGAAGTTTGAACGTTAACAATAGGCCAATATACAGGAGCCCTTTTGCATGCTGCTCTGAGCAATTTGGGTAAAGTATCTTGCCCAAGGATACAACCAGCATAGACCGGCCTGCTTCCTGAGGAACACAAACCAGCCATAGATAAACACCATCTAATAACCTGTTATTTTACACAAGGCCAATGTTATAAATGACACAAGGGGGTGAGGTGGGGGGGTTGGGGGTGCACTTTCCCAAAAATTCAAAAATTTGATAAAGATATAAATTATTAGCAACTGAACAGAATGGAAATACAGAAGTATTTTTAACTACTACGGCGTATGGATGCATACAATTTTTATTGCTAAATTTAGAGAATAAAAACATCAAATCTTGTTTCTTAATACATTTGTTTTCTCTTGCTTTCTTTATCTTCAATAGTTTTTATGATAGCTGAACAGTCAAAGGATTTAAAATTGAAAAGTATAATGACTGATCACATTATAAAAGCTTTAAATTTTGTTGTGCTCTTCACAATAACTGATTGTGTATGTGTATTACCAGAAACAAACCAATTCAGTAACTATACCAAAATATCAGTTACAGAGGAATGGTGGTTACCTGTATTTGGAAAGCATTACAAAATGATGAACTGATAGAATGACATTTTTTCTATTTGTGAAATTTAAAAACAATTAGACGTTCAAAATCTTACAACAATTTATTCCATATTCATCGGTATTGGTTGTCATGGATCATTTTCATTTCCTTTTTTTTTCTTTTTGACTAAACTGTTAGGGTACAAGATTTAAAAGTGTTGGATAAAACTTTCTTGCTCCAATATTTGACTATATTTAAGACTTGACAAACTCTACTCAAATGACACTACGACATCAAAATTAAAAATTATGATTTATTTTGTGACTCTTTTAATCTTAATTGAAAAAATCATCATAGTAGCATGACAACCAACAATTTTCTCTTTTATACAACAATCACATAATTTTATGAGATTTTTGTAAATGCTGCTTTTTTGAGTTTAGAGCAACAGAAATTTGGACATTTTCAGTCTCTTTGATGCTTCATTGTAAACTGTACAGATCAGCAAACAAATTTATTTGCTTGAACTCGCTGAATTTCAAATAAGTTGCTTATACAAAAATTTCCTAAAATTCTTCCATCTAATCAATCTTCCAATAAACCTTGTTTGTATCTATCAGAGGGAAAAAATTCCAGAATAAAAAATGAAATTAGAAGTAATTTTCAAAATCAGAAGTAAACAAAACAAGGCAATTCAACAAAGGGGCATAACTCTGTATTTGCTAAGGTGCACCACCCAATATCAGAATCACAATCTTAGGTTCTACAGAATGTGATATCAACTGTTCAATATTGTCAAAGTGGGATACAAGTTATGACTTTAATATTCAAAAGTTATCAACTGAACAAATATGCCCAATAAAGAGAGCATTATTAGGTTTATTGTATAAGAAAAAGACAGGCGACAATACCTTTCTTCTTGTGGATGAGTGCACCTGTCCTTTCCTGTAATGACCTAGGTTGTTGGTGGGGGATGGGGATATAAAATGGCTCCAGTTGATGGTATGGTAAAAATTCAATACTTGCACAGAAAAAACAATAGCTATGATGAATGCTAAATCTATTATTATGTTAAAAACTTTACATCACTGTAAGGGATATTAAAGCAGAAAAAAAAACAAAAAAACAAGAAAGCTCTTTGAAACATGACTGTGTAACATAAAAATGATGAGATAAACAAAAAAATTCACATCTTTTAAAATCTGAACTCATTCTGAGGATTCTAAATGTTACGTTTTATAAAAAAAATTGAATTAAACAAAGACAGTTTGTAGAAAAATCACTCTATGACTCAATCAGTGTGTTTAAAATTTTCAAAACTTTCAAAACAATAACTGACCTTCGGAATGAAATTGATTCTCATGTTATAATGCTCTTTCAACACATCACATATTATTGAGTAAATGACTACATCCCTCATATTCTTGTCAGCACTTACCAGTAAGATTGAGATTCCTACCTGATCACTTCCATTATATTGTTGCAGCAATACACACTCAAACCATTAAAAGTTCCTCGACAAATGTTGATTAATTTTTCCAAAGACAATTTATTCTTTCAAAGAATAACCTGCCTCCTTTACAATACAAGGAGAGCAAATAGATGGACCTATTTTCAAAATATTCAAATATAACTGATTCGGTTTTTCAGTCTCACACTAACAGTAAAGTATTAGTCTTCTACAGTAATCTCCATGAAAAAGGGGTTGGGGTCAAATATCTTGAAAATCTCTTGAGGTGGTGACCTATGAAAATGTTCTCAATCAAAAAGATTCTTATCAGTGTCAAATAAAAATCAACAAAATTGCTTACAGGTTGACTAGTTATTTTCATCATCAAATCCACAGTTGTCACATATACACAGCATACAGCATTAATACAGAATCTATAAACCAGAAAATATTCCAATATTCTTTCAATTCCTTCCATTTAGTAGATAACCACTAATGTATTCGTCTATGTCATGGTCTAGTGTTTTCTTTCTGGAAATCAGCTCTTAAAACTGTGGACGGGTCATTTTTTAGTTTATCAAGAACACGTTTCCTAAATTTTCCCTGTAGTCTTCCAAATTCCATAATGTCTTTTGGCTTTGAGTCGATCCAAAACTTGTCAAACTCAAACAGCATGTAGCCTGTAAATAAAAAAAAGACTATTATCATTACCAATGAAGATTGAAAAATATTCATTTTCCATTTCTTAAAGTATTATTGACATTATCTTTGTGTTGTTGAAATTTAATAAATTTAAATAAACAAAATATGGCAAGATAAGTGACCATAATGGTTTTTTGAATATATTTAAACTTGCATTGTCAGTTTAAGTCTAATTTGTGTCAAATAAATAACTCCAGATTATATCTTAAACACTTGACCCCAGATTCTGACATTAAAAAGAGTTCATCATATCATGAACATGGCCAGGCATGTTGAGCTACATTAGTCTTAATAACAACATAATTTTCTCTGAATCCGACTAACATTTTCTTCCATGACTGATATTTCTGTGTTTATCCGTTTGTTTTCTCCAGTACATGCTGACATTTTCTACACAACGTGATGACAAACTCATGCAACATTCTACATTTTCCTCACATTCTTGTGTATTCAAATTGATTCCTTGTTACTAACCCCATTTGGAGTAAGACAACTTATGATGTTAATAAAAATTCTACCTTTAGAGTGAGAAGTGAAATTTTCCCTATCAAAATACTAGATTTATGCATATTCATTTGGTACAAATTTTCTAAATGATCTTTTTTGTCTCTTCCATGAAAGTTTACTATTTCTAAAATAGAAAAAATAGCACAAATGTTCTTTATCTTTCTGATTATTTCTTCAAAAAGTTGAAAATATGTCTCACATGGTAAATGGGTGGTCAAGGAAAGCAGAAAAGTTATTATTTGTTTGTTTGAGTAGAAATAAAAACACTACTTTGTGTTTTTCATAACTTACAATATACTTCATGGAAATCCTGGAGGAAAGGTTGATCCTTTGATGTATTGTAGAAGTGTGTGCGTAGGGCTCCACTTTGTAACAGTTCATATGCGACTTTAGTCATATTGATGCCAACCACAGCATATGGATACCTAAAAAGAAAACAAAAAAATGAAAAGAAAAAACTCTTTTACAAATTTTTTTTTAACACAGGAGTTTCAGAAAAAAAATTCCAAGATTTCCAAAACAAGCACAGTAATATGGACATTAAAATTCATGTGAAAATGTTGTATTAATTCTAGTTGTATAACCCCAATGCTTGTATAGGTTATTACTGTAACCATATAATAGTAAAAACTTCTCCTAGCAGTATTCTTTTTTCTTTTTGAAGGATTCAAATCTTTTTTGTATTTCCAAGCATTTGGAGGGTTGCCAAGAATGGAACCCTGGGTTCACTGAGTCAAAGGGATGTTTAATACCTGGCCTTGGTTACTGTTCAAAGGCTGGTTAGTGGTAATCAGTGGTTAACGCAAATTTTCAAACATGTATCAAACATAATGGGAAATAATTTCTACCATTTCACAGCTATGGATTTGTTAAGATGTGTCAGATTGATATATTTTGAGTATAGTTTTGTTTTTAACTTTTTTTTTCTTTCAGTCACTACAATTGAATTCTGTCTTGAATCACATGTTTAAATAATAGTGGGGCTTTCATGCTGCTGGTGGTGAAACATGCCCATGGCATTAATAATGTCTTTCACTGGGGGTGTTCCTTCTCAGTTAGAAATCACATCTGCTATTTTTACCTATATTTCATATTTTACTTATATACCATTTCACATGGTCTATTTATTTCTGGAAGAAACAACTGATTACATAAAGAAAATTATATATATATATTTTTGGCAATTTTACACAGCCTTTTTAAGTGAAAATATAGTAAAACTTTCGAAGTTCAAGGGAGTACCAAAAAAACTTTGATACATCAAGACTTTGAATCATTCGTGGTAGGTTTTATCGCCATCATCATGTTCATGGCTATAGATGATTGATGACAAGATATTTCTACCTGAACAAACACAACATATACCAAAACTCAAGTTTAAATGAAAAGATGCATTTTCATCTTAAAACAAAATATTTTCATTCATGAAAAAAGATAAAATAAGAAATCGATAATGCATGCTTATGTCTACATTAGTGCTGTTATGTCCCATTTTAAATGAAACAGTCTTCAAGTGTTACAGTAATTACTTCAAGACTGATACATAGATGTTTTAGGCATTTATGAATTTAAAAGAAAGCAAATTAAGATCATAATGTCCAGAAACGACAGCATTAACATCATACATCTTTGGTCGTAGAAATTACAACAGAGTTTGCCGATGTTCTGACAACGGCTAGCCTGAATCAATCAGAGAATGCATGAGTGACAAATAAATCACTGTGTTTATCATGCTTTTATGCTTAATTCTAAAAAGTGACACTTTGTGAATGAGTGAAATCATTATACAAGTGATAGGATTTCCTGCAATTGTTTCCAAAATTCCATAAATTAGACCTAAGTAAATGTCATTACCACAATGGTGGTGGTGAACATCACACAACATCCCATTATTTTCTATCAAACATCATGGCTTGTAATTAAGCAATAAGATTTAAATCTGTATCCGGTCATTAATTAACCTCGTAACACAGAGCCAATGATAGCAGGCCATTGTAATCCCATTGTCAGGAAACACTCTTCATTGAAATGTATGAAATTTTGCCACAGGGCAAAAATGCCTGTACAGAACAGGTAAATGCTTTGATCAAATCATGAGGTGTCAATTACTGCGAGCAAGTTTGACTGTGTTTTGGCCACTTATCTAGAAACAAAGTATTTTTGATTTCTCAGACATTTTCCCAGTAAAGAATTACAAATGATGAAATCAATCACATTTTGATATCAGGATATACAAAACAGTTCATTCCTCAATACTCCCTAAATCTAGGATTAAAACTGATCACAAGATTTTTACTTCATATATATTGGTGCAATAATATCAATAAACAATAATCTTCCATTACAGGATGTACTTGCAAGCAAAACTTAGCAATTTGTGGGTGTAATAAACAAAAGTGGAACAAGGGTTGACAGGAATGGGTTATGCTCCCCAAATAGGACAAAATTTAACAATGAAAAATAGCAAAGGGCAATAACTCCCATATTATGCAAAAGAGAATCTTAGTTCTTGTGCACTGTCCTTCTCCTGCTTAAGATCTATCTATGAAGTTTTATGTTGATACCTCATTTAGTTTTTCTGTTAAGCTCGGAACAAAATTAAGACAGACAGACAAAACTGCGATTATATGCTCTCCATTCGGGAAGCATAATAACCCTGTGTAGAGCTAAGGTACAATATACAATATAATTTTACTTAATGTGCCTTCCTGGAACATACTCACAGGTGCAGGAAAAATTTGTAAAATTGTGGAAGACAGACATTCCAATGGAAGGTAAATGTTTAAAATCAAATTAGAATTCACAGTCAGTCTAAATTATAAAAATAACATATTTCCTATTATATATTAAATGTTCCTATTAATATAGAATATTTGTGCCTGCAAGCACCTGCTTTTGCAAATCCACTTATATTACATCATTATTAAATATTACGTTATGTATTAGCAACTTCATTATTACCTGTAGTGAGAGATTAAGTAAGACGTATTTACCAATAGGTTGGATGGTGGGAGCGTGATAAAATTCTCTGACACTGCTCCGAGTGCTCCACAGCGAAATATCTAGAGAAGAAAACATCCATCAACTAATCAATGATTACATTTACCAATACAAACTCAAAGCTGGAATAAACAAAAGGCTTCCATTGCTATTCCTGTAATAAATGTCTCCTTTTATGCATATCACTTTTTCCTATTTTCCCCCAAATATAATATGCATTATTTACATTTATTACCAAATTTTGAATCTAATTCCTGAATACATGAAACGAAAGTCATGGCAGATGGCAGATATTAATTTTACAAAATGGTAGTATCATTATACAAATAATGTAAAGTTCAAACATGTGAGTTAAAAATATATCTTATCAACAATAATGGAGGTCACCGATTCAAAAGTATTTCAAATTAGTATAGTATTTAAGATCTACATTTTTCCCTTCTCATTTATAGTAACACTATACAATGACACTTTAATGAATGTTCATAAGATTTAACAATAACTTTACCATATCATAACATTGTGATCAATATATTCAAGACACATCTGTGTGAATACTAACAGAAGTTGGTACAAGCCCAGAATGCCCATGCCCCGGAAGTCAGTCTTGGGGTCGTCACCTTGGAAACCAATTTCTTTCCATTGGTCGCTGATCCTCATCTCAAGTTTAACATCAGGCATCATGACCTTCCATAACTGTCCAGGTGAAAATACACAGGTAATTTACATATGAATATCCAGGTAAATACACAGGAATTCAAACAAATTTACAAAAAAAAATTTACAAATAAATTAACAACTAAATGCATATGCAAATTTATGAACAGGTCAACACATTGTTTGATATATGGACAAAAAGGTAAATCATTTATGGGCAAGATAAATAAACAAGTAGCTAAGATGCAGGATAATATGCACTTCGATAAACAAGCTTGTACATAATTATGTAATGCTTGTTTGTTTGTTTCCTTGGTTTTTGCACCATGAACACCAAGATACAGAGTTTTCTTGTATTCTTGTATGTACCTCACTGAACAAATAGGGGAGACCCTTTTCATGCCATTCAGAACAATCAGGGTTAAGTGTCTTGTCCATAGACACAACCACGTCAATGTAGACTGGTCTATTTCTCAGCTTCCAGAGAAAAACAAACTATACTGATAGTAAGTGTTAAACCACACACCTAGGATTTCCACCCGAGGTTACATAGGCCAACAAATAAGACAAAGGTTATAATTATAGTATCAAAATGTATAAAATGATATGAAGTTGAAGGTAAATTAGAACAAGATGACAGATAGTGTTGCATGCAACACTCATCCCCTGATGTTAATTACATTTTCTAAGCAACACAGATGCGAGGCCCTAAAATGGTGATAAATGAAAGTGACCTTCAAGCCTTTACAGTTGACCTTTTGACTCCTAATTTGATCCCACCATTTATATTTTCTAATAATGAGATTGCATCAAGTTTCAATACAATCGGTCAACAACATTATCTGGAAGCCAAAACGTATGAAGTTTCAACCATTCCACCATTTCTCGAGTTATCGTCTGGTAACCAACATCCAGACAGATGGGCGGACTGACAGACAAGGAGTCAAGTACTAAGTCTCCTCTGGCTTCACTAACTTATAGCAATACAGGTGAGATTATTGGTTATAACTGATGTACAAAAAGGCAGGTACAATACACAAAGGCAAAATGATATAAGATTTAAAAAAAAAATAAAGATAACGCGTGAATTAACAGTAAATCTTATGATACAAATAGGACACAAGTGTGGTTGTAATTGTCTGGCTTCACTGCACAGTACATCACAAAACAGGATGAGCTGTAAGTCATGTGTGGTTGTAATTGTCTGGCTTCACTGCACAGTACATCACAAAACAGGATGAGCTGTAAGTCATGTGTGGTTGTAATTGTCTGGCTTCACTGCACAGTACATCACAAAACAGGATGAGCTGTAAGTCATGTGTGGTTGTAATTGTCTGGCTTCACTGCACAGTACATCACAAAACAGGATGAGCTGTAAGTCACGGTAATCATTTACAGGATAGGATGAAATTCATGAGTTCAAATAATAACACTTTGATATCTGCAATATTCAGAATGCTTACGATTAATTTGACTGATGACAGTGAACACACACAGCACAATACCTTCAATAGCTTTGTTTCATGATCTGGATTTTCTGCGGAATATGGCACTTTTTTTATGCTGTCCACTTCATTCTTCAGTTTTTTATATCCACAAATCTGACAGAGACAGACTTGGAAACAGTCCATAAATCTGAGACACAATAAGAAAAGTGTTAATTCAATATTTACATCAGCACCACTGATAACTTAATATAGACCTTCAGGTAACAAGGATTACATTAAAAAAATCTAATGCAATTATCTAAATGTTCTACTTAGGAGACTATTTCCTTTCAAAAGTGTCAACTTAAATATGTGCATAAAACTCAGTTGAGTTGCCTCCCTTTAGCAATGATCTAATGTATCTCAAACAATAGAATGTGCCCTTGCCACTCTGTATAGATCTCCTATCTGTTTTCTTTAAACAATTCCAACACTATACTGGTCAGCCTATAAGCCTTAGAATAATTAACTCACCCATATAAATTGTCATTCAGTAGCATGTTCAACAAATACTTCTTTATTTTCCTGTAATAAGCCCACCTGATTACTTTGAGACACAGGTGTTGTAATGCCCTCTGTGCTAATTGGAACAGGGTAAAAGCGACAACCTTTACAATGTGACATTTTGTTCTGAAACCATTCAATCTGTGTAAGTTTCACTATGTTTAAACTATTTTCTTTTTATAAAAAAAATTAAACCGAAAGTAATGGTTACCATCTAATGGATTCCACTTGCTTCCAATGAGTTTACAGTGACCATTGTTTACAACAACCACCTGTTTACAGTGACCACTTGTTTACAATGATCAATTGTTTACAATGAACATTGTTAACAACAACCACCTGTTGACAGTGACCACTTGTTTACAATGATCAATTGTTTACAATGACCATTGTTTACAACAACCACTTGTTTACAGGGAACATTGCTAACAACCACTTGTTTACAGTGACCACCTGTTGACAGTGATCACCTGTTTACAATGACCATTGTTTACAACAACCACTTGTTTACAGCGATCATTGTTTAGAGCGACCACCTGTTTATGAATTTTTTTTCTATTTTAGGAGTTTGATGCCTAATAAAGGATAAATTGACATAAATACAGGGCAATGAAACTTTGGTATGACTGCAGAACTACAACAGATTCAGGAGTTATATATTTGCAGGGTAACTTAAGTGCTTAACTTTCTAATGTTAACCTCTCAATGTTATATGTTCTTCAGGTTATGAAACCAAATACTACCTGGGATGGACCTCCGCTACAATGGACTTAATGGTCATCACCTCTTGAGCAGCAACTGTAACATCTGGGATGTTGTCAGACTTGTAGAGCTCCTTCAGACAGGTCACCCCAGAGAGCTTCAGCGACTTTTCTTAATAAGTAAATAAAAAACTAAATATTAATTTTCAAATTTTTAGTAAAAACCAAATAATTGTGGTATCTGTTGAAAAGTCAATTCTCACCAATTCTCTTGGTACGTTTAGCGCCCTCATCATACTGGTATGATATGCGCAGAAGCTCACACTGACCAGTGTACTTGCGAAGTACCCACTTCCACATTGGTCTCACCAGGTAAAAGTACAATGCCGTCCAGGCATTCCCAAGCCACTCTGTTACCATGGAGACACAATTTTTTTACACATCCAGAGGAAGAAGGTAATCTCTCTGTTGTCTCTGTTTCTGGAACAGTCCAAAACAGATTCATATGACGGAAAATACTTTGTACTCACTAATGCCAAATTTACTAGAAGATAAAAGCATAGCTAAAGTCAGACTGTGAGACATAAATGCCTTCATTACCAACAAATAAGTAGTATCAATTTTTGACAAATTTCTATAAACAGTAACAATAACCTTGGCCTGACCTCTGCCTTCAGGAACTCTTTCAAGGTATTTTCGAACCTAACATTTGTTTCAACATAAATCAAATTCCCTAAAGTAATAGGTTGTTTCAGTGACTTTGAATCATGATGAGAAAAAGCATAAATTGTATTTATTGTATATACAGTATATACTGTGTCTTTCCTATGAAAAATTCAAGCATAAATATGACATTAGCTGCGACTTTCTAAAATATCATGGCATAGCATCAGTAATAACAAAAGCACTACACAAACATCAACAAAATAATGAACATGTATCAATAAAATACCAGTATATTCTCTTAAGTTTAGAAGTTATTCTAAAAAGCAAGATGGAAGCTAGACGCATGTATAAGGCATTATGTAAAAATAATGTCACACCCACTGGTAAATTAAAATGGATTAACTACAATATCAATGATGACACATGGAAACAAATCTATATCCTTCCTTTCAAAGTTACTAAAAATACTAAATTTCAATGGCTTCAATATGAAATTAATCACCACATTTTGATTACCAATTCAGATTTAAGATGGGATCAACTGATATTTCTCTTTGTTCATTATGTAAAACAGATAGAGAAACAATTGAACACATCTTTTGGGATTGTCAAGAAGTGAGATGATTGCTACTTAACTTTGAGAGATTGTCTCAGATTTTTCATACTAACTTTGTATTAGATAAGAAATCTTTCATCTTTGGAATTTTAAGTAATGATAAAGCAAAGGCTACAGTCGATAATGTGATAAGTTTAAGATTATATATTATTATATATAAAAAACAAAATGTCTTAAAAACAGCCTTTCTATATTAGCACTTATTAATGAAATTAGGAAAACATATAAAGTACAAAAGCGCATATCAGAAAATCAACATGAAGCCAAGAAATCAAAAACCCAGGGAGAGAATGGTCAACTTTATCAAAGCCTGATTGTGACACCTAACCTTTCTTTCTATTTTTTCAAGAGCTGCTTATTTAATTATAATAACAGAAATATTTATGTCCCTTCTGTAAAGAACAACCAATAAAAATTGATAAGCATCATGCTTCTTACAGCCCTGCATTTTGTTACATTGTTTGTCTTATGTCTTGGCTATCTATTTATTATCTCTTGTCTGGTCACTGTCCATTTGTCCGTCCTGTTTGTTTACCCTGCTTTGTTGTTTATGTAAGGAGATTTATTTGTTTGTCTGTCTATTTATATTAGGTATACCAGAATATTTTTTTTATTATAATATAGCTAAATGTGTCAGAATGTTGAATGAGAGGCCTCCTGCGTGATGGCATTCAGCTGTTCGAGGATTGATCCCAGGGCTCCTCAACCCTGGCAGCCTCCTTTAAGTTAATTGCTGAGGAAATAAATATTTTTCTAAACCTGAAAAAAAAAGAAGAAATAACCAACTAAATTTCAAATTTTCTTTAAAAGTCTATTTTAATATTCTAGATTTCAAAAGAAAATTTGAAATCTAGTCAATTTTTTTTGGTTCTTGAGTTATAAATCACTTATTATAATCTTATATTGGGTTTTGGGATGCAGTCCTAGACTGGGTACAGCGCCACTGATCGCTGGCATTAAAATTGGTCAATCTTGTTCATCAAACACTCACTGAAAAGATAAAACATTTCTTTTTGGGGTTTATGTACTTGTTCCTAAGATCTGTCGCCTCTTGAATATCAAAAAACATAATTGATATAAATATGTTCAGTTTTTCCTTCCTAAGAGCTATACGACTTGTCACTGTAACACACACATGGACAGTGTATCAAAAATTAATCTCTGTGATATGGCAGAAGAATGTTTACTTTAGGCTTTAAACTGCATATTGTCTCCAAAAAAGATTACCTTCCAAATCATTTCATTAACTATGTTATACTATAATTTAAGGCACTGACACTGCTCAAGGAGTTGGACAAAAGTGCAGTTTTTTTACATGTGAATTCATGGATCGTTTTTTAAAAGCGATGGTCATCCGTAATACATCAACTGAATTGCATCAGAAATAGCAATTAATTTTTAATATATATGTACATGAGCATTCTATTTATCCCACCACATAAAACTGTCAATCTATTTACTATGTCAGCTATGTAAATATATTGACATATAGTTTATTATACGCTATGCTTTAGAACATATATGCAAATGCAGATAACCTTAACGAAATTGTGTTGTGACGGGTACCTATCAATTCTGGTATTGAGTATCTTGGTATGAAACGAAGGAAAAGAACTTGATTTGACATAGTAATAATCAGTTCTTCTTGTTTTCAAAGAACTCCATCTATATTTATAATTACGTTCTTATGTGTTAGATCAGACACCAACTTACCACAATAGTTATATATAAAATAGTCTTTAAACAGGTGAAACTTAGTTAAAATGAGACAGTTTGGTGTACAAAACACCCATGTGGGTTAAACCGGAAGTAAACAATGAATTGACAGATGGCGCAGTCGTTGAACACATACACGGCAAATTTCAATTGGTCAATCTATGATAAGATTATTTACCGTATCCATTATTTTGCGTAGATATTTTGGCATTGACAGTAGATGTTTATGTCATTCTTATTAACATATCGTGTTTTCTCGCAATATAAACCAGTAACTCAGGTGCGCGATGCATATTATAAACGGAAATGGGTCAATATAGGGTTACCAAGTTACAACCAATCACGAATCCGCAATTCCGATATGAAGTAAAGCTGATGTATTTAGTTTCGCACAAAATATTTAATTACATAGCAAACATTTATTTCTATCACCTGCTGATTATAACAGTGTCAGATATTCTTGTTAATAATACCGCTAATTTAAAGATATGCAGTGATCTTCAAAATCTGATGTTTTCATTTTTCACCTGTCGGGAAAATGAAAAATTTCTTGTGATACAGTGGAAACAGCATGGCGCGGGTAGCTTGTCACAGAGAAAAGATGTCAGTAGAATGGTTTCATTTTGTATTATTATTTCACAGTATTCAGAATTATTTCCCACATACAACAGCAGTAGAAAGTCACAATCAAGGTAAAGTATATATCTTTTCTTATATATTGTCTGATTATTGGAATTTCCAGTTAATTTTGGGTACACAAGTGTCACCTCTGTAACCGTAACGTAAATGTTTACAAACAAATGAATCGTTGATCAGACCAAATTTACATTTGCTTATCAGCGTTGTGTGTGGATTTAAATAGTATCTCTGAATTCAAATGACTTCTACACGCATCAGAATACAATACGATGCTTTGGGATTTACATCATTTATGTGTTTACAGCGTTACAAATGTACATATATAGGACACATTTTATCATCCGGATACGATAACAAGTCGTGGTGTACTATCAGATAGATCTGGGTCAATATCTCTAATTTACACATAACAACCCACAATATGAACAGATTGATACCTGAAGTATGTATTTAGTATCACCAATGACCAGCATATTCGTTTAGTAACACATGTATACAGAGTGCATGCAGGATGGTCTGTGAACTTGTGTCCCCCTCCTTGCAAAAATTCCTCTCCTGCGAGATTATTTTTGTGTTTTCATTCATTTGCTAAGTCCACTACAGTATATCATGGGTTGTTTTTGCTTGTATTTTATATGTTAGATTTATAAGTTAACTGGGGGACTATAAATATCTATTATTCATCATCCATTTATGAAGAACAATTTAGTTTGCAAATTGTGTTAACGAGGTCCTTTTTCTTAATTTGTACTCGATAATCATCAATCTTGTAGCGTTCTATTATTACACGCATTCAAGTCCTTATTGTTTGTCAAATATATTGAAACCTTGGTGATTGCCCTATTTCCTTGTTTGTAACTGTATTGTTCATAGTAACAGTGAAATATTGTACACATGCAACTTATAGTTTCCGTAGACCATGCTTAATTTTGTTTGTTCTTCCTGTTGTGTAAACAGCAAAGTAGTTTATATACAATTTCTTCCCGTAGATATATTCTGAGTTTTTACATGATGTCATTTATTTGGAGGCCATCCATAAATGAATTTAATTTAATATGTACCAAGAGTCAGATTTCTCTCCCTTATTAAGTTAAAACAGGTCTGGATCATGAGTTGATATATAACTCATTTCATTCTAAATGATACAACAGCAAATATTTCCTAAATTTATAAAAATTATACTTGTGTTAATTATAATGTTTGATCTAAAGGCAATTACTGGTTGGAGTAACCATATGCATGACATAGTAAATGATTAGATGGATGAAATAATAAATATTGCATGCCACAATAATCTTTTGTGTCGTCTCCAACCAGGTGTGAACATGAACACATTACTCGATATATATATATATGTGCAATACATTAGAATATGTATTCCCCTGAATCCTGAAATGTTTTTGCTTTATTGATCATTGGTGGTAAACTGTCGGTGGATATATTGAATAAATATCCTTTCAATTTTTCAGATATAATGGATTTTTTGAAGGCAATTATTTTTGCATATTAAATGTTTTGACTTACAGGCGACTAGTTCATATACTTGTAGGATTTCTTAGCACATTGAGAAACATGATCTTTATACTTGTTTACGTTCTCAGCCCCATATTTTCACAGATATGTTAAGAATAGAAATGGTCAGGTACAACTATTTATGGTCCAGTGGTAATATATATGTATAAAAGATTCAGTTACATATACTATATAGCATACAATTTGAATTCGTTTCTTATTGAGAACAAGACCCCATTAACAAAAAAGGTGTAAAAATTATACATGACCGATTACCTATAACAAATCTTTGAAGAACCCGCCTCCTGTCTGTTGGATTGATTCATACCTATTTAAGCTCACCCCTTCTCATCAATCCCCTGCATACCCTAGGGTATCCAGGCGGGAGGCGAATAACCTGCAGACCTCTATTAAATACAACAGCGGTGTTGGCTCTATCCTTTACTCAATTATACATAACGTTATCATCATGTGATTTGGTTTTCTGTCCATGTTTACTTCACAATATTTAAAATACTTGGAAAAAAAAAAGATTAGTCCTTATATTGCCATAATTGTCAGCTGTTGTCAAAAACCCAAACCACAATGTCCACATTATCACCTGGAACTGCAATGTCAGTTAAAATTCAGGTAATTACTAAGGAATGAGGATGTAATTATGGTTTAAGTAACTATCCAATTACTATACTACAAAAGCTGAAAAAGCAACAGAGTAAATGTTGTTTTCCAGGGTAATTCACAACAGCTAAATTCTGGAATTTATGGTTAGCTGGAGATTTTTAAGGAGAAGTTTAAATTTGATCACAAAGTTTTATTGTATGGAGGTAAAATGAAATACATCCGGTATTAAAATACATGTTTCAGTGGAAGGTAAAGTTTGATAATTCAGGTATATAGTCGGTAGAGCTGACACATACAGTAATTGTAAATAGAAAATTGGTCAGGAATATCATGTGGTGCCTACTTTTTATATTATGTCTCCCGATTCATTCTTCTACTTAAATTAGTTAGTTAATGATTAGATCTTGCTGTTATGCTATAACTAGTCTTGAAAAATGAATGGTCTTTCAAGAATGTTGGTTTGTACTTACATAATGTACCTATTGTTATGAACAAGCTATGTCGGTATAATATAATGATGTGATTGTTTGAGGGTGCTCAACCTCCAGTTGTATGTTTCTATTACATACCTCAAACACACAGGCAAAATTGAATGTGGAAATTATCAATGAAAAGGAAAGAAACTCTAAATGCAAATATTCCATTTGACATACAAGTTGGTTTACCAGAAGCCAGTAATGTACCTCCTATGTGAAATTTCATTAGCCAATATCATGAAATAATAGAAAAAATTATTATGAATTTACTTCAATTTTAAATCCTGGACATTTTGGGAAGATGCCACCTTGTAAAAAGTTGGAAATTGAGCTAAAAGTATGAAAGAGAGGAGGATGGGGGTATAGCATTTAGATTATTCACATGCAAAATTTTGTAACTTTTTAGCAATTGGATAGAATCGTCTTTCCCAAGTATACAACCACATTATACAAAGGTTCAGTGCACAATATCAGCTTTCCAAGGAACACAATTTACATAATCAGGCCTAGACCTTCCCCAGAGGTTGCATCAGGACGTTCTCCTGAGGTTGTGTTTGTATTCCACTGATTTTGCTATAATGGCCACTCATGTTAACTTTGAAATGACTTCAATTACAGATACCCAGATTTATCTGATTACGACGGAAACTGGTTTAGTTATGTTCACATTATGAGGTTTAAGTTAGAGCAGAATTTTATGGTCAGAAGTATTGTCACATACAGCAGTATAATGTTTATTTCTTTCAAAACCGGTTACATGTGGGAACTGTAATATATACATGTATGACCAAAGAATTCATGTTTTGCATTTCAGACTATACATTAAAAATTGTCATGGTTTATGGATGTTCCACAACTCATTAAATCTAGACAGAAACATGTTGATCTATACCAACCCTATGCAGCATACAGTCCCTTAACACTTCCTCAATGTTTCTGTTTTATTTCCAACTTCCTGTTTACCATTGACATGGATATATATGTAACTTCAGTTGTGCAATAACTTGTAACTTGTTTTTATTAAAGTGCCATTCTAGGAATATAAGATTTCAGTGGTTTTCAAATATTTCAGTCATAGTCTCCTGTTTTTTCTGTACCCACTAGATCTCTCCGTTACTAGTCTCATCAAAATTTTGGAGATGGAGCTCTGAACTCACTAAAACAAAATCCTGCAAAAAATTTGTGTTGAATATTAATTACATTTTATAATTATTATACAAGTAAAATCATATGTTTTTGTGTGATGCAATTTTTTTGATGCATCACTATATTTCATGGATAGATATATTGAACAATGGCTCAATCAATTTATACTAATTTCAATGGTTTGATGACAGGAATTTGTCAATTAACAATAAAAATTCCCACAAAAATGATTGATTTTACAGTAACATGCAATTGATGTACAATGGGATGATCTCTTTAAATACTAATTATTCAATTATAAAGAACATTTCACAGTCAGTTTTTATTTACGTTCTAAATAACCTTGTAAAAACAAAGAGACTTTATGATGTATAGAATTATATCAAAGGGAAAAAGTTTTTGTAATGTTCACACTTATTTGAATATCAAACAGAAAATTATGACACCATTAATTGACAATATATTGTGATAACACAGTAATAATTTGTATGTAATAGGCTTTATTATCAGTTCTGAAATCAGACATTAGAAAGATTCCTATTAAAAGTAGAAAAAGTTCTGCATATATTGGCAGCTGCTATGGCAACTGTTTATATTTATTACTGTTTCATTGATTGGATGAAGAAATGAAACCCAAGTGTGTCTCTTACTGTCAAATGAAGAGATATTCTGAAATATTCTCTTCAGTTAAGTGTGATTTGGTACTGGGAATAAATGTTAGAATATATTGGACCAATTTCTGACAAGCAAGAAAATAAAACCAGATGATCTTATTTTTGTTCATATATACAATGATGACTCTGGGACCATTTAGGTTTTTCAAAATTTTCAGTATCAATTGTTTTCTTTATGCTTAATTTCAATTTCTTGTTTCAGTGTTAGAGTTGCCTTTAAGCAGCCTTCAGTGAGGCACCAATCTTTTTTCATTGAAACTGCCATTATCCATGAAAATAGTTCCATGCAATAGCTTTTAAACTTGCAAATACATGCAATACCAGTAACTTGCATATGTTCCATTTTGCCAAGATCTTCAATTCAATGTATCAGTGACCATCATTGATTTTTGAACTATTACAAGTTGTTTCGTATTCAAATGTACAAGTACAAATATGAAAGGGATTCTTTTTCAATTCATTTCTTACAGTCACTTCCCCATACATGTTTGATTTTGAATCGGATCCCACATTTCATTATAAATATATATATATATATATATATATATAAATATATTTGTATATGCATGTCTTTTTCAATGGAATTCTGACTACATGATAATAATAAAACATCAGGTGTGTTGCAATATTTAACAAATCTTTTTTTTCCTAAATGTATGATATGTACAAGAGCAAGATTGCTGTTTTTTTATATTGTAAATATACAATTTAAAGTTAAGCACTGTTGATCAGTTGGTCATTCTTTTCCAACTTATGTATAATCTAGTTATTACAGAACCATGAATCAGACTCTGAAGGTCTCATGATTCAACATCATTGGCGACAGCTGGTATTCACAGTGCATGCATACCAAATACACAACACTTGTGACAATATCAAACGCCAACAGAATGACCATCACAAACAATGTGCATTTTCACTGACAGTTGTTTACTTTAGAAATACAGTATAGATCATTCCTATTCTCACTAAAAATGCCAATTTGTAGATTTTTCAATTAAAGTGAAAATTCTTGTTCCTTTATCTAATACCATTGTATAGATAAATTGCTAAAATCTAATTCCAAAATTAGAAATCACCTTCTGCTCCAAAACTGACTAGGAATTACTCATAAAATTCATTGTTTTGAAAAATTTTAAAAATTCATTAATACTGAAAAATTCTGGTAGATGAGGGTTAACAAAAATTTTACTTTGAATTCCAGATACTTTCCCAAATGTAGTACAATATGCCTGTGTTTAGTACAGGCCCGTTTCTTCTTGTATAAATATAGATTCATTAATTTCTTACACATTGAGGTCTCTATTGACATTAAGAATTTACATTTTGCTTTAAATTCTTGCAGCTTTTATACAGACAGACAACCATCTTACATACATAGGTGGAACAAGAGACCTGACCGGCATTCCTTTAGATGTGAGTATATTCTCTAGCTGAGAAACAGAGGATATTTCTCTTGTTTCTGTTAATTTTAAGGCACTTGGGATTGTCCTGCCATAATTCTGTGCAATCTGAAAGTTTTATGTAAGTTTCTCTGGTTGGTATTGAATACCATTTTAGAAATAGTTTAGGAAAAAATATTTGATGGCCTTCAGCAGACAGTTGTATCACATTTCTAAGAGACTAGCAGATTAACAGTTTAGTAGGTGAACTCATGGTCAAGTCTTTCAATGTCTGCATGAGACAAGGATCAAAATTTCTGGGAATTGTTTGGCCATGTTGTCAGGTTTATCACCCATTTCTGTGGAACATTTCCTGATGTTACAGCCTGTTTCATTAAATCAAAAACTTTTTTAATTGCTTATTTTGATGCAATATAGAAACAATGTAACCATTGAAATGACAAGTTACGAATAAATCATAAATCATGACTTTCTAAGACACACCAACTGATCGAAGACTTAGTCTTGTCAATAGTCTTCAATGACAAATTGCATTTGAAAAGTGATTCTTTCAGTTTCACATAAAAACTTTCATTAATCTTTATATGATTCAGTGTAAACTTAATATGCAAATATAGGTTATCAATTTAAATACATAGTTTTTTACTCTGTATAACCTTTGATGTTGGTACACAGCTCTATAATCGAATGCCCATGTTCTTTAAAAACCTTTGAATTTTATTTCCAGGTAAAACCAGGTCATTTACATGAATATGATAGGTAAGTCTGCTATCTTGGCATGTTATTTGTGTACAATTTCCTGTGATGTGCTTGGTGTCTATTTCGGGTGAAAAGTTCACCTTGAAAGATCAGTGTAAAAGACCGAGTAATACATTAAATTGCACATTGATGTAACACATAGATAATACAGATGTTGTGAGGTCCGTTTGGAATCCAGAAATTCTTCTTAACCTTTCATGGGCTGTTTGTCAAAAAATCATGAGAAATTTGTGTGTTTTTATTATTGGCCAATGTGGGAGTATTTAGAGTGTAATTTTTCTCTGTAGATATGGGCACTACGTAGCCAATTCATGAGCACTATTTCATCAGTTCGAAAAGTGTAATTTTTCTCTGTAGATATGGGCACTACATAGCCAATTCATGAGCACTATTTCATCAGTTCGAAAAGTGTAATTTTTCTCTGTAGATATGGGCACTACATAGCCAATTCATGAGGACTATTTCACCAGTTCGAAAAGCGTAATTTTTCTCTGTAGATATGGGCACTACATAGCCAATTCATGAGCACTATTTCATCAGTTCGAAAAGCGTAATTTTTCTCTGTAGATATGGGCACTACGTAGCCAATTCATGAGCACTATTTCACCAGTTCGAAAAGCGTAATTTTTCTCTGTAGATATGGGCACTACGTAACCAATTCATGAGCACTATTTCACCAGTTCAAAAGAATATTTTAGCGAAGTGCTACCAATCCATTTCAGCGAGATTGAAGTTGATTTTGTATTAGCCCCTACAAGAGAAACTCAGTTCTACAAATATTTGGCATCTGACAACATTGTAATATCAGATGAATTGAAAACATTGATTGATAAATGCATTCATTAAAAACAAAATGAAAGACCTGTTTTTAAGAATCGAGTATACTGCATTCCATTTTTGCACAGAATATAATAGATTTATTTTCAAAAAATTCTTTGATGATGATGTTTTTTCCCCTGTGAACAACTGATTAAAATTCTACGTTTTTCATTTGTTTAGAACCAATTCAATCATATTTTCAGTTTATGATAAAATGATAAATAGTTGCGTTACGTTATTGAATATAAATTTGACAGCTTGATTAAAGTTGTTGACATGAAAGCTTGATAGAGCACGTTGGTAGTTTGTGCAATGCAAACATTTTATTGCCCAAGACTCTGTACAGAATATTTTTCAAATAAAGTCAAATATGATGTGTCATACCAATGGTTAGTAACAAAGTCTCACTGTGTTATTTTCACCTGTAATGAAGTTTGCTTTTATGTAAGAAAAATGGAAGCAAATAGCTTTATTGACATGCTCAAATCATGCTCATCATTGACAGATCTGATAATATTGAGACAAAGTGCTTGTTAATGTATTAGAAATTATGTGTAATTGAATAGGTTTGTTATAAATGAATTATCTACACACCTAAGAAATTGAGATCACAGGATGTGCTAGAAATGTCTCTCATAAAGATCATCTCCATCATCTACTCTGTGAAGGGAACAGCCAGCTGTGGACCTTTCCCCATATTGTATATCGTATGTCTGGGTCCAGGCCCTCCCTATATAGTGTATAGCTTAAAATGATGATATATTGAAGGGATCAATAATGGTCTGTGTGTATTTATGTCTGCTGGCACTGCTTCCGCACAGGATATTTGTACCAATCACCATCGTCCAGGTAGAACATTACCTGAGCATAAATAGACTGAGGCATCTGTTACAATGGACAATATGACACTTTCGCATCATAGCCCACGGTTCCATACCTTGGGGATCTGTCCCGTAAAAAACACTGGAGCTCGCATAGCTTCCATAAAGGAAATCTCTTATGTTGCTTATTGCAACTTTGTGGGCAGTAAAGTTTATATTGAATATATATGAAGGTCATTGATTGCTGTTTCTTTTCATGTACCTAGCAATATTTCTGTTTATTAATTTATCCTGTATCGATCGTCAGTCGCCGATTTTATGCAGACGATAATGGGATGCAGGTGATTTTAATGTTGTACATTATTGAAGATCATATCAATAGTAAATCTCCTAGTCTGGAATCGAATCTGAAATATTGGTCACATCAAAAGATTATAGGTCTTCAACAAAATAAATTTTCCAACATATCACTTTTGCTTCAAATTCTATCAACAGTGCTTTCATTGATGAAATTGCGTATTTCCATCTTTTGCAAACTAAAAAAAATTATGTATACACACAAATGTACAAGTTTTTGAACAAACAGTGTATTTGTAATCATTGGTCATAATAGTAATATAATGCCAGTGTATTAAAGTGTCAAGGACAAGTGCATAGATATGATTGATTTATTTGTTATCCAGCATATATATAGGAACATTTACCCCATGTCCGTGTTTTGTGTTGTGTAACATAAAGGTAGATTATTAACACATGAGTTGGTACATTCAATCAGTGTTGGTCCCATTGTGAGCTTGTCCTAATTAGTTGTTTCCTCCTAAATTAAAGCAATGTTTGGTTGTGAATTCTGAGATGACCATATTCTGTGTGTACCTGCACATATATAATACACCTGTGTATCTATGTACTCAATGTATTGTTTACAACTCAATATGTTGATATCCTCCGCCAAATTCAATACGTAGAATTGATTACATGTTAGTCTGTAGTTGAAGTTGATGGTTAAACACATATAAACACAGGTTTGGCTATATATATAAATGACAAATATAATTATGAAACCCAGACTTAAGAAATTTTCATATACAATGTATATAGAATTCATATCAATGGATAAATTTCTTACTTAGGATTTAGTGATCATGCTTTTATCAAGTCACTAATTATCAGGATCAGGAAGACAGTCGAGCGTTATTAAGGAAAAATTGAGCCCTGTTAACATCTAGTTGGTTATATTGGACTGTGATTAGTGTTAATGTGTGGACAGAAATCTGTTGACCTTGTGTTATTCTTATATGGCTCCATTGTTTGTAAATGAGTGAAAGTGAACAGGTTATTTCTTGATTAATGTTGTATTGTCAGATGAGGTTGTTAGCTATCTGTCACCTTCACGATTGGCTCCCGAGGGAAGTGCACAAGGTCCATGTATGACCCAATTCTGTGTCATGTTTTGATGGTAATGTAATAAAGTGCTGTGATGTTGTGGAACATGGTGACACTGTAGTAGTTCCGTTGGTGTAGTGATGGCACATGATCTCCTACTAGATGGCAGCACGGATTGCAGACCAGTTCTGTCATACAGACTGTTGCTGGATATGCCTGGCTCGGTGATATTGATCTTGGGGCTCATTCATAATACATCTCCATTGGTACTGTACTGTATCCATATATTGTAGTGTGTATCAGGGTACATGCAGGTCACACAGTGTCACACTCGACCGATTTTGTGTTTTTAATACCTGTTTGACGGCCACAGCTAACATACAAGTATCTGATGTCCTGGTGTGTAGTTTCGATCGTATGCCAAGTTTATGTGTGGATTCCAGCTGAATGCATTCGTACAAATTGTAACTGGCATACTTCACCTGTAAAACACAATACTCTCTTGTCATGTTGTTACCAGATTTGTGTCCTAGTATTCTTGTCAAATAAAGTGAAAAATATATTGAATGTAAAAAGTCCTCCATGCTTAAATGGACACATTTAAAATTTGAAATGCATTAAAGTTATATTGTGAATGGTTGTCAATAGTGGGCTGTTTTTTTTTTTTCTCAAACGGTAAATTCAATTTTTTAAAAGAAATTGTGAGCAAGTTATAAATATATTAATGTAGAAAATGCTCTTAATTCATTCTTTGAAGTTTAAGATTGAAACTTGAAGTGATATATTATATAGGTAATGGGGTCTCTTATCAGAAGCTGAATTATAGGATAATAAAGTAGTAGTTAAGTTGATGTGAAGGACTTTTTAAATTATGGCTCTATAAAGTCAAGGCTAATTGAGAGTTTTTGATAATTATAAATATTTGCTCAATGAAAAGAACAGAGTTTTTATCTTCAATTTGAAATTTGGTGATATAAATAGAAAATACTGAAAAAAGTCATGATTTTGAAAAGACATCAATTGAATTATAATTAAAATTTCCAATGTAAGTTACATACATGTGATGTTTGACACTAATAATAGGCCCTTGTTTGGAAATAAACTCCTACTTGTCTATTGCTGTTCCTTACAATTACCAATAAAAGATTTTTACATTGTCTGGTAATAAGCCCAAACCTGACCTTGTATCGGATATACTCTAAGCTTAATGTAGGATCAGTTTGCTTTACTAGAAGGCACCAGACCAAAAAAAACACAGATATTCATATTTTTGATAATTTGTCTCTATACAAGCCCATGTCTTGTAATGCACCTGCTTATTTTTTCACTGTTAACTTGTAATCTGTCAGACTTACTTCATTGTCCTGTAATAAGCCCTCTTTGACTCAGCAAGTAATATGATGGCTTTCTGGGCTTGCTGTAGGATAAATACAGTATGAAAAATATTCATTCCTAGAATTTAAATGATGAATATTGAACAAAGAGTACAGTTGGTGAATCAATACATGTTTATGTAATGAATATATTAGTTAGGATATATCAGTGAAAGTGCAAATCCTTGTTAAACATACACTGTGTAAGGGGCCCTGTGGTAGGGATGGGAAATTGATAAAAACTCATAATCAGTTATCAGTTAATATCTTATTAGCTTCCCAATGTAGTAAATAGATTACATCATCAGGATCAGCGGACTTGTGTTTAATATTCATAGAAAGTAAATGCATTCTCCATTTCTTATTCATAATATGAATATTATTTTTCGCTAAAACGCAAGAAAACATTTAATGTACCGAAGATCAATTATGAAAAATTACAATCTATCATTGCATCAAATGAAGTTAAACAATTATCAGGTAGGTAATCAATTATATCAGACCTGTTTTACCATATATATATACACACACCATATATGGGCTTCATTCCCATAGCAATTAATTTCACAATATGGCTAAATTTCCAAAATCTGTAGTTTACTTC